GGTCATAAGCATCAGATGATATGCCCCTGGTCTCTGGTTTTGATTTCCTCTTTCTAAATATGCATTTGTCCTTGTTCAGAATTAAAATATCTAGAAAAGAGCTCAGGAAAGAGGGGAGATGCTCTTGGGCTTGGGGGTTGACACTCCCTGCAGGGATCTGCAGCACACTCTGTCCCTTTCTTGGGCAATGGGAACCTATGGCTAGAATGAGTTGCAGCTGTTTTGGACTATGCCAGAGAGACATCTGCTCCTGGGGGAAGCCCCTATTGACGGAGCTGCCTTTCTCCCCAGAACTCTTCAGACCCACTGTGCCCAGTAGTGCCTTTGCTGGTGACTCTGAGGCCCTAGAGCTGGGACAGTGGCAAACCTGGACTGGGCCTGCCCTGAGCTGCAGCAGCTGGGGTCTGTGGGCGGGAGGAAGGTGACACCTTGGCAGTGGCAATGGGTGGCACTGAGAAGACTCTGCATTTGGTCTGTGTGGCATCCTGCGCTGTCCTTGGCTGTCTGTAAAGCAGGAGCTGCTGAAGGGGCCTCACTCATGCTGTCACGTTCCTGACTTGATTGGCACTTCTTGATTGTAGTTTCATGTGACCAGTAGTGGTTCTTAGACAGTGACAGTGCCTTTGGAGCAGCCAGCTTCCAGGAAGCCTGGTGCCTTGGAGCCAGAGAGGGCTTTGCCACCAACACCTGGGAAATGAAGAGGCCTTGAACTGCTGTGGAATACAGCTGGGGACAGGGCAGCTGCCCCACTGAGGCTGTCTTTGGCATGGGCCTGGATCTGAACTTTCATGGTCCCAGCATCTACCCTAGCCAGCAGGTGGCCCTTCAGCATGGACTGGTATCATCTATCCAGAATCCTGTTGAAATCCTAGCTACTTGAGAGGCTGAGGCAGGAGGATCACAAGTGCTAGGTTAGCCTGAGCAATTTAGGCCCTGTCTCTAAATAAACATTTAAATAAACATTTTAAAATGGCTGGGGATATGTGGCTCAGTGCTGGAGCACTTGCATAGCATGTGCAAGGCCCTAGGTTCAATACCCAGCACTGAGGGAAAAAAAATCCCACTGAGCAAGATGTCTGGGAAGCTTGGATGAAATTCTCTACTATGTAGTGTTTCTCACATAAGGGAAGCCATTCAATATTTGAGCTGTGTGTCTGACTTATTTAACTTAGTATTATGTTCTCAAGTTGCATCCATTTACCTACAGATTCCTCAAATTTATCTTTTTAGTTTTGTTTTGCTATTGGGGATTGAACTTGGGACCTTGTGCTTGAGAGGCAGGAGGTGGAACCACTTCAGCTAAATCCCCGGCCCCAAACTTATCTTTATGGCAGCATAGTACTCCATCATATATAAGTACAACATTGCCTTTATCCATTCATCTGTTGATGGGCATATCTGCTGTTTCCAGGATCTAGCTATTATGAATTATGCTGCTATAACCATGGGTATATGTGTATTCTTGTAATGTGACAATTTTAATTCTTTTGGGAAGACACCTAGAAGGGGGATAGCTGGAATTTCTATTTTTAGGGGGTTTTTTTGGTACCAGGGATAGAACTCGGGTCCTTGCGCTTGCGCAGCAGGTGGCAAAACCACTGAGCTAAATCCCCGGCCCTATTTTTAGTTTTTTGAGGAATTGCCACACTGGTTTCCTTAGTGGCTGTACTAGTTTACATTCCCACCAACAATGTAGTAGAGTCCCTTTTTTCCCTACATCCTCGCCAGGGTTTGTTATTATTAGATTTTTTGATGGTAATCATTGTTTCTGAGGTAAGATGGAATCTTTGTAGTTTTAATTTGCATTTCTCTGACGGGCAGCAATGACGAGCATTTTTCATATATTTATTGGCGATTTGTACTTCTGAGAAGTGTCCATTCATTTCAGCTGCCCATTTTTTAATTGAGTCTTTTTTGGGAGAAGGAGGTCTCATTTTTTTGAATTCTTTATATATTCTTGATGTTAGTCCTCTGTCCATGGAATATCTGGCAAATTTTTTTTTCCCATTCTGAGGGTTGTCTCTTCACTCTGTTGTTTCTTTTGCTGTGCAGAAGCTTTTTAATTTGATGTGATTCCATTTGTTGATTCTTGGTATTATTTCTTTGTTTTGTTTGTTTTGTTTTTGGTACCGGAGATTGAACTCGGGTCCTTGCACTTGGGCAGCAGGCAGCGGAACCACTGAACTAAATCCCCAGCCTGTTGGTATAATTTTTTATGCCATTGGGTTTCTGTTCAGAAAGTCTTTGCCTACACCTGTGTCTTCAAGAATTGTACCTATTTTGTCTTCCAGCAGATTAAGTGTTTCTGTTTTAACATTTAGATCTTTGATCCATTTTGACTTTAGTTTAGTGCGTAGTGAGAGATACGGGTTTAGACCAGTGGTGATGAACCTGTGGCATGAGTGCCACAGTGGGCTGTTTGCATCATTGAAAGGTTAAAGGGTTCACCATCACTGGCCTGGACTCAGTCTTCTGCCTGTGGGTATCGAGTTTTCTGAGCACCAGTTATTAAAGAGGCCATCTTTCTTCCAGTGTATGCTTTTGGCTCTTTTGTCAAAGATTAAAGAGCTGTATGTGCCTGGGATTGTTCTGCTTCTATACTGTTCCATTGATCCACATGTCTGTTTTTGCACCAGTACCATCCTGGGGTTTTTTTGTTGTTTTGGCTTTTTTTGGTACCGGGGATTGAACTCTTGGGACCTTGCGCTCGGGAGGTAGTACGGCGCCACCGAGCTAAATCCTCAGCCAATACCATGCTGTTTTAATCACTGTCTTCAAGTCTGAGATTGTGATGCCACCTGCTTTGTCTTTGCTACCCAGGATTGCTTTTGCTGTACTGGATCTCTTCAGATTCCATATAAACTTGAGGTTGGTTTTGCCTATCCATTTTCTGGTGTCTTTGATTTCCTTTTTCAGTCTGATGTCATTTTCATTGTAGAGGTCTTTCACTTCCTTAGTTAGGTTAATACTTAAGTATTTAATTTTTTTTGATGCTATCATGAATGGTATTGTTTTGCTAATTGCTTTTTCAGTGAGTTCATTATTAGGTTGTAGGAACACTATTGATTTTCGTGTGTTTATTTTGTATCCTGCTACACTGCTGAATGTGGTTATCAATTCTGGGCATCTTTTGGTGGAGTTTTTGGGGTCATCTAAGTAAAGGATTATGTCATCTGCAAATACAGTGATATTTTGACTTTGTTCTTTCCTATCCATATCCCTTTTCTTTCTTTTGCCTTGTTGCTCTGGCTAATGTTTCGAGGACTGTGTTAAACTGTAGTGGTGATGACTTAGGTCTTGAATTTTGCAGATTCTAAGAGGATCATTAGTCTTGGGACAGCTGAGACCTTGGCAAAGTGTGCGTCCCTCTGACTTTTGTGCTCCTGCTAGCAGGCTGGCCTCTAATGCAGTGGTCTAGGGACACTGAGTCATCTGCGCTTTCTGGTGGAGTGCTGCTGAGGGGAGAGGAAGGAGTCAGTGTCCTAACTCCCCAGCCATGGTGAGAATCACGCAGCAGCACTGGCATCCAGCCCACTGGAGGAGAGATCTTATTTTCTACACCACCAGGACCAGAGTGTCCAGAAAGGAGCATGGGCTGATTTCGCCATTAAAAGCTCCTTTCACTAAAAGTATATATCCAAAGACCATATTTTATAATAAAATGGATTATTTTATTTAAAAACAGTGCCTCAAACTCCTGGTGTCCTAAATTAGGTCGAATTGTTCATCTATACAGCTTTCTCAAAATCAGGGACATAAAGATCATTCATATTGATATAGATGCATCATGTAAACTGCAATAAAGGTAAAAACAAAAAATGCTTGATTCCTGTGGTCTAATATTACATTTTAAATATTTCTTTTGAATCCTAATGCAGCTATAATCTGTTTTCTGGTTCTTTCTTAGTATAAGTGTTTTGAAATTTCTGTTTAATTGTCATCAAATAATTATGTGTCATGACTATATTGAAGTACCACAGCATACTCTTATAGTTTAGGGATTTAGGCTTACATATTATAAGTGATGTTTCAGTATGTGTCTAGGTCTTCCCTTTGCTCTCCATTGTTCTCATGTGATAAACTTCAAGGAGTGGATGCCATGTCATGGGTCCCATGTATGCTGCTGTGTGGTCCTTGATAACTGGCTGTTCAGGGCTCAATACATGTAAAAGCTGATGCATGAACTCAGAAGCTCAAAAATCTACTTTTGAATGCCTGAATGAGGACCCTATATCTTTAACATGATGGCACATGCCTGCAATCCCAGCTACTTGAGAGGCCAAGGCAGGAGGATCTCAAGTTTGAGACCAGCCAGGGGACTTAGTGAGACCCTGTCTCAAAATAAAAAATAAAGGAAAGAAATGTGTTGGCAGTTAGCCCAGTGATAGAGCATCCCTGGGTTCAATTCCTAGTACTACTCACACACACATCTACACACACTAATTAACTACATAAACTTTGATTATTTCAGGTTCTCTCGCTGGCTGATGGAAGTAGACCGGAACATTTTGACTATCAAAATAATGATGAAACCAAACTTTTCTTTTCCCTTCCCTTCCCTCCCTTCCCTTCCCTCCCCTCCCCTCCCCTCCCCTCCCCTTCCCTTTGGTGGTACTGAGGATTGAGCACAGAGCCTTCACACTGAGCTGCCCCCCCAGCCCTTTTATTATGTTTTCTTTGATATAGTCTGGCTAAATTGCCCAGGCTGGGCTCAAATTTGTAATCCTCCTGCCTCAGCCTCCCAGAGTGCTGGGATTACAGGCATGTGCCACTATGCGCAGCTGAGACCAAACATTTTTATTACGCACTTACAGTTTACAAATGCTTTCTTATCCAGCAGCTCAGTTAATCCCCTTAATCCTCGGTGTGCATTTGGGGTAGGGATTACCACTGTGTCCAGTTCTTGAAGTGAACACAGAGTGTGGAGATTTGAGGCCCCTTGGCCCAGATGTGCTGAAAGAAGCCTGACCACCTCCCCTGTTTGCCTCTTTCCCACTCAGGTCTTCGGCAGCTCTCGGTCAGTCACCTCCCGGTGTGACCTGAGGGCCAACCTCATCCAGAGTGGCTGTGGCAGTGAGATCGAGAGCCCGGCCAGCAGCACACGGATCCTGCGAAGCCTGCCTCTCAGCAGCGAGGGCTCTGGTGTGGTGGGCCCTGATGTCATTCAGATGGCGCCGCAGGAGGTGGCCGTGGACCTCCGGCCTGGTGAGTCACCCTCAGGATGGGGCTGGCCCATGGGAGATGGGGCCTGTGCTGGGCCAGGCTGAGGCCAGAGCTGGGGGATGAGGTGGGGGAGGGGAGGCCCTGAACCCTGGAGACAGAGCACAAGGCCCCCGTGTGTGGATCTCTGCTGTTTTTGAAAAATGCAGTAGAATTTATGCAACATAAAATTTACTCTTTTAACCTTTGTATGTATGTGTATGTTCCTGGGCCTCATACATACAAGGCAAGTGAGCTACATCCACACTCCCTTTTTTTAGGTTTATTGAGACAGGGTCTCACTATGGAGACATGGTCTAGTTCAGGCTGGTCTTGAACTCACTGGGTAGCCCAGGCCAAAACTAGCAGTGATCCTCCTGCCTCAGCCTCCCGAGTGCTGGGATTACAGGCATGTGCCACCATGCTTGCCCCACATCTTTTTAAATTTATAGTTTGATACTGGTTGGTCAGTTGCCCAGGTTGGTCTTGAATTTGTAATTCTCCTAAGTCAGCTCCCACCCTCAGAAGCTGGGATTACAGCTGTGCACCACCGAAGCAGGCATACATGGTTCAGTTCACCATATTGTCTGTCATCATCACCACTGTCCAGTTCCAGAACTTTTTCGCTGTCTCACAAACTTCGTCTGTTAGGCAGCTGTTCCCCATTCCCTCTTCTTGCCAGCCCGATAATCTGTCTTCTCCTCTCCGTCTCTTAACTTGGTCATCCTAGGTAAGTGAATCTCTGCGATTACACTTGTCTCTAGCTGTCACTTTGCATAATGCTGTCAAGGCTCATACCTATCGAAGCATAGTGCAGATTTCCCTCTGTTACAGCAGAATGATATTCCATTGTATGTGTGTGGCACATTTATTTGTCCACTCCTCTGTGGTGGACACGTGGGCTGTTTCCACCTGTGTGAATAACGCTGTTGTTTTTTCTGGGAGAGTGTGGTAGATTTACTCCCTAGTTAATTTAAGTTGATCCAGGAGAGTGTTACTTCTCAGGAAAAGCATTTTTCTGTGCCAGCCAAACCCCTTTGATTCAGTGGTGTTCCAAAGGGATAAGCTTTCAGAGTAGAGATATTTCATCTTGTGATCCCCCTAGCCCCTGCAAGCCCTAGAGGTGATGGCAGTGTAAAGAAACTGAAAGTTTTTTCACACCTGCTAAGTGCTGACCGTTTGACTCTGAGGGAGCCAATCTCATTGTACACATGGGGAAAGCACCCATCAAGGTCTCTCGGTTAGTAAGTGGCAAATCTGACTCCATCCCAGGCTCGGTGACTGCACCAGGCTGTTTCTAGTTCACCACTTCTGTCATCCAATGTTCCGCACAGTAGAACCCATGCAGTATCAAAGGCCAGGTCTGCCTGTGGCGACATTGGAAAGTATCACCCCGTTGGGAGCTCTCTCCAATTTCATTCATTCATTCATTTATTTATTTATTTATTTATTTGCCCTTTCCTCTACCTCAGTGACAATGCTGTTTCTTAGTGGTTATTCTGACTTCAGGGCAGGTTGGAGCAGTGGGGCGATCCTGGAGCTGGTGGACCATCATGGGTGTCAGCTCTGGTGGCCCCCCCAGCTGGGAGGTCCTGGGCTGGTCACCGCATCCCTTGGCATCTCAGAGCTTTGTCGCCTTGATTTCTCACTGCCTTGTTCAGAGGCTTTCATGAGACTCTTTGTACAAAAGAACTTTAAAAAGCTAAAATTACTTTGAACGGGTCACACCCAAAGCTGCCAGATTCAGGTTTGGATCAGGAGGTTTAGTACCCAAAAGTGGGTTTGGTGCAGTGCTGCACATTAACACTCAGTGAAACTCATTGTTGTTGTAGCTATTGTTATTATTACTCTTCTTGTTTCGTTTTTTGGCAACACTGAGTATTTTACCCAGGGCCTTTACACTGAGCTACATCCCCAGGCTTTTTTTCTATGCCTTATTTTGAGACAGGGTCTCACTAATTGCTAAGTTTCCCAGGCCGTGACCCTCTTGCCTTGGCCTCCCAGAATGCTGGGACTACAGGTGTGAGTCATCACTCCTGGTTTATTATTCTGATTCTGTGGTTCTGGGCCATGTGCATTTCTGGAATGAGCTCTGAGTTGTCACATATTCCGTGAATATCTGAGCCTGCCTGTGGGGTTCCCTCAGAAATACACTCCATGGTGGCAAGTCCTCGTCCCTTAAGGCAGACTCTGCCTAGGAGAGAGCTGGATGTCACACAGTCAGTAGTTTAGTGCAGGTGTGGTTATGAGCAGAGAGGCCATCTGGTCTCACTACCAACTAACTGGCTTTTAAAACAGCCTCACAGAAGAGTTAAGGAAACAACAGTACAAGTTTATGCACATAAAGCTTAGTGTATGCTCAGTTCCCATCACATCTCCGGTGAAGCATTGTGATAGTTTCCTGTATTGGAAATAACACAGAAAACATGGTCCTGTGTTTATAGAAAATGTAGGTGCTGTCTGTGGCCACACCACCCAATCTTGTCTGGTCTCGGAAGCTAAGCAGGGTCGGGCCTGGTTAGTACTTGGATGGGAGAAAACATGGGTGCTCTGTGCAGGTCAGGCCTTGCAAGGTGTGGAGCCCAGTTCTGGGAGGTGGAGGTGATGGGGTGGGGAGCTGGTGGCCCTGTGAAGACCACCTGAGCTGTGAGGATGCTCAGTCTGTGGACATGAAGACCGTCGGTGAGAGCCAATGAAAAGGATTCCTAAAGCTCCAGAACCAAGCCAGGAATGGTGGCACATGCCTGAAATCCCAGCACTCAGGAGGCTGAGGCAGGGGGATTGCTGTGAGTTCAAGGCCAGCCTGGGTTACAGAGAGAGTCCCTGTCTCCAAAAAAAAAAAAGGGCTCCAGAACAGTCATGAATATTTCTAAACGCAAAAATACGTGTGTGTGTTGCTGGGCATTGAACCCAGGGCCTGGCCCATACTATCATACTAGGCAAGTATTCTACCACTGCCCCCAGCCCCTAAATACAGAAACACTTGAAACCAGTAATGCCTGGTAACCTTTTGAAAAGGTAAGTTTAATATTTATAAAGAGGAATTCTGGAAAACCCCATTTATTTGGGTGAAGGAAGGAATGGTATGCTGCACTTAGCAAAGTTTTTGGTACACATGTACTTCAGGGAAATTCCCCCATTTCTGAGGATGGCTTTCAGGTACATAGGGACTGGTTTTTCCATTATGTACTTTCAGAAATGCGCCTGTGTCTTCTCCTTCGCCCTGCCCCCTGTACTTCATAATAGGTATTTGTTGAGTGAAATATAACATTTTGCCAGCCTTTGTAACCAGGGACAAGCCTCAGCATAACATGAAAGACACCTTGAGAGGGCCAGGCTATTGTTCAGGATAAGTCTGAGGGGGAGGGAGGAGGCATCTTCCTTTAAACAGAATTTGTTAAAAATTGAGAAATAATTCACATACTATAAAATTCATTGTTTTAAAGTGGTTTTTAATGTATTTGGAAAATTATATAAATATCGCCACTATCTAATTCCACAACATTTTTGTTACCCCATAAAGAAACCTAGTACCCAGTAACAGTTGTTCCTTACCCTAGCAGCCCCTTCCTCACTCAGCCCCTGGCAGCCACTCGTCCACTCGCTGTCTCTGTGATTTTGCCTATGGAAACCTTTCCTCTGCATCACGTCATATGTGAACATGTGGCCATGTACTCATCCATGTTGTAGAATGTGTCTCATTCCTTTTTATGGCCAAATAATACTTCATTTTATATATGTAGTTATACCACATTTCAGTTGATGGGCATTTAGGCTGTTTCCACTTTTGGACAATTATGAACATTCGTGTACAAGTTTTTATGAGAATGTATGTTTTTAGTAATCTTGGATATATAGCTAGGAGTGGAATTGCTGGATCATATAGTAATTCTATATTTAACTTTTTGAAGAAGTGCCAAATTTTACGCAAGATTTTGTATAAAAACAGGATCATGTTTTCCATTTTATTTTGATACTGGAAATTATATGTCAGGATAAGAACTTTTAAAAAAATCCCTAACAGACATAAAATCCTTAAGAGATAAACTTTAAAGTAAGTCTTACTGAGATGGTCAAAAGCTAGAGGTGTCTTTGATACACTGGGATAACTAGAAAGGGTTTCTTAAAAATCATTATTTGCTTCAATCTCTAAGCCTCTTAAAAGTGACTTTTGATTGTTAGGTTTTTTTTTCATTTTAAACTTTCTTTTGAAATAATTTTAGACTCACAGAAAGTTATAGAAATGATGCAGAGATTCTCCACATACTCTTCTCAGCTGTTCCCAGGGATAATAGCAGAGGTAACCAGAGACCTGAGACCAGGACATTGACATGGTACAGCAGCGCTAGTCAAGACTCTTTCCCTGTGCGTTTCTCCCGGCCCCTGTTTAAGGGCTGTTCTCCCCACTCCTCAGGGAGAGACTGGAACACGTGGTCCCCCCACTCACCAGACTGACAATGTACCTGCTTACGAAGGCGAGGAAGGACCTGTGATGAATGCATAAAGGGTTATGTTAAAGGAAACTACAGAAATAGAGCCTGATGCTTGGAGGCAGACACTGTGAGGTCACTCTGTCTTCAGATGACTTGCTTTGTGAAATCCGGACCTCTGTCTAGAGTCACTACAGTATTCTGAGGTGGGAGTCGGGTGCAGCAGCCTATTCTAGACCAGGGAAGCAATTCTTTGGTTCTAGGTCTGGCTTTAATTTCGGAAATTAAATTAAATTTAATTTAATTTCATGAAATACGTCCTACTGTAGTGAGCAGAGGAGCTGTAAGTTCATTTTAAAAGGTGAGCACCAGGGCCCTAATTCCCTCTTCAGCTGTATTGCAGATGATTTTTATGTTTTCTTTGTTTGTTTCAGTTTCTTGCACTGAAGGGTAATTCTAGGGATTCAAAAGCCACTCACAATTCTTTGGGGATGGCAAGGCTTTATCTGCTGAAAACTACTTTGTGGTTAAAAAAAAATCAGTCTTAAACATTCCTGCTGAAATTCTCTACTCATTATCTAGAAATGTTTGTCATCTGACACCTTTTACTTTTTACTGAAGGGAGGGTGGAAAGAAAGCATTACAAATGCATTTCAGGTGCCCTGCTAGTTGATACTTGATTTCAGCATGAGGAACTGTGCTTACTAGCTAAGCAGTGGCAGGAATTCTGTGCAAAATGCAGTTGAGCTGGGTGCTTTGAAACAGAAACCATAGGGCATGAGAGGAGCTGCTGGTGGGACACCTCATCCTCCCAGGGGCAGGGGATCTGCTGCTTTTTGGAGTTTGCTTTATCCTGCCCCTCTGATCCCACCACTGGCCTGAGGCAGGAATTACTGGAACAGCCCCAGAAAAAGAAGAGCTGTGAGCCCACAGGGATCCTAGGTTGGGAGGGAGGCAGCAGGGAGTGACAGATCCAGGCACTAGGTCTGGGATGGTGCTGCCAGACAAGCATAGCCCAGCCCCGCTGGTGGAGGTGGGAAGGGCTTTGCACCTCCTGGGCACACGGGAGGGCACAGGTTGCAAGTTTCAGGTGGTGTAGAAGAGCAGCTGGCCGGAATGGGCAGGACGCAGGGGTGCAGCTGTGGAGGTGGACCCAAGATGGGAAGTGGGCCCAGTCTTCTCCCCACCTGCAGGCTGCTGACACTGAAGGCTCCCCTGCTGGGGGTCAGGGTGCTGACAGCCTAAGCCTGCTGTCCAGGCATGCCGCATTGCCAGTGCCCTTTCAGGAGTTTGAGGCATTTATAACCAAGCTTTGTAAAGGTGGCAGTAAACCTTCCTTCTGAACATGAATGATGCTGGCTTTGCTCTTACATCCTTCTCTCTCTGGAGAACAGGAAGAAATATTCCCTTTCAATATGTGGAGCTTGTGTGTGTGTGTATTTTCTTGATGATCAGTCAATTTCTCTTAGAATGTAATGCTAAGAGATTTCTCACTTCTGGGCTGGGCAGTATGGCCAGTGGTTATGTGTTTGCTTAGCATGCGTGTGGTTTTGGGTTCAACCTCCAACACTGAAAAGTAAAAAAAGAAAGAAAACAATTTCTCATTTTCCAGTAGATAACCCTCCTAGTAGAAGGAGATATATATATATCATATCTTACTTCCCTATTTGCCTTAGGTCTGGAATATTTGGAGTTAAATGTATATGCCCAGGACTATAGCTAGTCAAATTCAAGTTTCTGGCAGAATTTTCTCTTTTTTGTCCCTACAGGAAATTGTTTTTAATAATTGACTTTTGGCAGAATTGAGTTATGTATCATATATGTCATCTCATTTAATCCCCACACTGATTAATATCATCCCCATTTTACTGAAGCAGAAACTGAGCAGCAATTTTAAAGGATCCTAAGGTCTTCTGACCCTTTGGTGACCAGTCCTGGGTTTGAACCCAGCTCTTAAATTTCCAAGCCTAGTGTTGCTTCTGTCCCAAAGGTGCCTCCTGGCCTCTCTGAATCCAAGCCAGTTCCCCACTTCCTGGTCCCGAGGTACCCATATGTATTCATCATGCACAGAAAGGCAGAAGTAGATCTAGATGAAAGAAGGTGTGGTAGAAGCTTTTAGGGAAGGCAGACAGATATTGGAAAATGTAGGAGATGGTGCACAGGTCATGGAATTGAGCAGAAGATTGTAATTGCAGGTTTATTCCATCCTGGTCTGCAGGCAAGCAAAACCCAAGGTTCTGCCTTCCCAGACTCCTCCTTCTTGTGCACCCAGTGAGACCTGGCATCCAAAGGGCCCTGTCTGCCTGATCCAAGCCAGAGCCCTGCGGCAGCAGTCCAGAACTTACTCTGGGAGAAATCTCGAACATTCTTCTGTTTGAGTCAGACTCTGATGGTTTTTAAAAATAGGCTCATACCAACCAGCAACTCAAACTACTACATCAATCTTGAGGCAGCTAGAATAATACACGCAAAAACAAGTCAGGGAAACAGGCTTGGAGCTGTGGCTACAAATAGTAATTATAATAATTGTACTTCATTTGTGCAAGCCTTTATCTCTACAAAGCACTTCTCTCCCACACAAGTCCAAGAAGCTTCAATCGATGCCATGGGCACTGTTGCTGTTTACATTTTACACTGAAAGAAACAGGCTCTGGTTGCATCCCTAATGGAGGGACAGAGCTGGAACTTGAACTAAAGTCTTTTGATCGCTGGATTCTTCCTGGTCTAGCTCATGAAATGTGCCTGTTGGCAGTGGGAGAAGAGCACAGAGGTCCAAGTTCTCTGTCCTGAGGGAGCGCTGAAGCCTTTACTTGCTAGCTGTCAGCTAGAGGCGAGCAATTGGCTTCTCTGAGAAGTGATTGTGGCCAATTAGGAGTAGACTTGTGCAGAGCAAGGCCTCTTTGGCTGTTGCAGCTCTAAACAGACAGAAAAGATACCCAGATTTCAAGTGCACATGGACAGCTCTGCCCTGGAATAAACAGGACTTGTGTTGGTACTCATAAAAGGTGAGTAAGCCTAAGGCAGATTGAATTTTCTCCCATGAGTTGAACCCTGAAGTTGGCTCTAAGTGATTTGTTCATAGAAATTATGAACTGATTTAGGGAACATTACCCTGATGTGGGTCCTCCAGCAATTGAACTGCCTTGACTTGGCCCTCTCCAGACCCTGGAGGGTGACAGAGGCTCCCCTCTGAGGCACCGATTTGTCTCCTTATTCTCTTCCTCAGAATTATTTACCATCTCCTCATATGTGGGCTTTCTTATTATAGAACCAGAAATCATTTTCTCTTTCTTGTAGCTGGTAGACAAATCTATTTTTCTTTTCCTGTTCTTTTGATGTGCTTTTTTTTCTTTTCATTTTTAAAAAATGAAACGAAAATTTCCCCTCCATCTTCCTGTATTTACTATACTTATACATTTTTTTTTTCTTTTTGAAAGTACTGAGTATTGAACCCAGGGCCTTTGCACTGAGCTGTATCCTCAGCTCCTTTATTATTTTTTATTTCAAGGCAGGGTCTCACTAGGTTGCTAAGTTGCCTAGGCTGAGCTCAAACTTGTGATCCTGCTGCCTTAGCCTCCCAGAGTGCCGGGAGGGCAGATGTGTCCCACCACACCCAGTTTATACATGTAATTTCTGATGATAATGAGTTGTGTCTATGATGTCCCCAAGTGCCAAATGTGCCCAAGAACTAAATACTATTATCTAGTGAATGGCTGAAGAGATACAAGTAAAGACTGGTGAGATTGCACAGGCCTAACTACTTTTTTCCCTCTGGGGTATTTTAAGTAACTGTCTTTTCTTTTTTTTGGTACCAGAGATTGAACTCGGGTTCTTGCGCTTGCGCAGCAGGCGGCGAAACCACTGAGCTAAATCCCCGGCCCTTAAGTAACTGTCTCTGTTACTTGCCTTCCCTCTCTCTTCCCCACCTAGTTCTTACTCATGTCCATACCCCACCCTACCCCTTTGCACTGAGCTATATCTCTAGTCCTTTTTTCTTTTTTCTTTTGAGACAGGGTCTCTCTAAGAGACCAAGTTGCTTAGGCTAGGCTCGAACTTGTCATTCTTCTGCCCCAGCCTCTCAGAATGTTGGGAGTGCAGGCGTGTACCACCACACAGGGCCCATACTCTCTTTTGTTAGTTCCTTCCTTGCTGGCAGTTTCACCCCATTCCCATCTGGTCTGGGTCTTCCTCTGGTGTGTGGTTGACACGTTGCTCCCCAACCCACTTTGCTTTTCATGGAATTGTCTGGCTCACTGTCTCCCAAATGCCCAAGGGATTTTTGCTGCTGAGAAAACAGAACACCTTAGTTGAGGAGCCTGGTTGTTGCAGGGCTTCCTTGGAAACACTGAGACAAGTGTTTGGGCAGAAGAGTCCAGGACTTCGCCCTCAGCACCATATTTCCTTTAGGTGCACCACTTCCAAGAAAACACTTCTGGGAGGCACAGTATCACTAAAGAAAATTAAGAGGTAGAGCAGCTTTGAAGCAGAGTCCTTCATTTCTGCCCAGCAGGTTATGTGGCCTCTAATGTGCGTGGCCTGTCTTGGCACAGGTGACCAGACGACGTTCCAGCTGCAGGTCCGCCAAGTGGAGGACTATCCCGTGGACCTGTACTACCTGATGGACCTTTCCCTGTCAATGAAGGATGACCTAGTAAATATCCGGAGCCTGGGCACCACGCTCGCTGAAGAAATGAGGAGGCTCACGAGCAACTTCCGATTGGGTTTTGGGTCTTTTGTTGACAAGAACATTTCTCCTTTCTCTTATACCGCACCAAGGTACCAGACCAATCCATGCACTGGGTAAGTGGCCGGCTGTCTTTCTGTTAGGTACCTTGGGGTAAGAGGATGAAGTAGTGGGAAAATAGCCTGAAGGAAAGAGAGTGAAAGGGTGACCAGGCTTATGTATTTAATCTGATTGATGATGGCCAAGTTTGTCCTTGCCCTGCATGTGGAAAGAGTGAACTGTCACAAGGTTGCATGAAGATGTAATGATCATAGCTCACTTATTTTCCTGCCCACCTCACACAGCACTGTTTTCTCACATTAGTAGAATTTGAAGAATATCCTTAGAGTCATGGACCCATGGGATTAGGGAAGGGACCGGGCAAGACAACTTGCACTTTCTCCTTACTTGGATTGTCTAAGATACTTATAGATAAATTCAAAGTTTGTTCCTATTATTTATATAAACAATTATAATTTATTTTGATGAAATGAAGATGTTTTAAGGTATGGATTTTTATCAACATTAAGTCAAGTACCTGAATTAGAAAGTACTTGACAAATTATTAGAGAACAGGAGTTCCTAAGTGCTACAACAAAACAAAACCCCAAGTGTATAATGGCCCAAACTTGCTAGAAGTTAATTTCTTGGTTACCTAAGTCTGATGGGGTCTCCTGCCTAGTGGACACCTCTTCTCTAAGTGATGTCCCAGGAACCCAGGTTTCTTTTCATTTCTAGGCTTCACTGTCTTCCACTCCTGGCTTCAGGGTCATCCTGCCTGGAGAACTGGGCATCCCAGGATGTAGTGGCCTGGTCTGTCATTCTGCTAGATGGAACTGAATTCCAGCAAGAGGCTGGACACTTGTTTAGCTCCATGCCCAAGAATAAGAGGAAATGGGCCTGGTGAGCAGGTTTTTTGCCATGAGTGTTTGTGTGTTTGGGGGGCACATTCTCCAGTGCCCTTAACGTAGCCTGTGTGTGATAGGTTGCTTTCTTTCTTTTCTAGTCTTTCAAGTATTTCTTTAAATGGCAGGATTATGCAACATAACTGCAACGAGTGGATCTTCCACCATTTTCTTGCCTCGTCTTCACATTCAATTTTAATGAGACTTTGGGATATAAGGCCTCTGTATAGCCACTAGATAAAGAACAGCTAAGATCTGAGATTTATTAAGTGGCAGGCATCATGCTAAATGCTTTGTATGGATTATCTCTCTTAAATATCGTAACAGCCTGTTGAGGACTTTAGAAGAAGGCATAACCCAGACTTTGAGGAGGAGGAAACTGAGGCATGGAGAGAAAAAATAATTTACCTGTGATTACACAAATCAATCCAAACAGACTGCTTTTAGAGCCTGCCTTCTCATTAATACATTGCCTGTGTTCCCCTCCACATTACACTCTACCCCAGACACTTCCCCTGAAGTGGAGTATCCATACCCACCCCAACCCTGTGCCCGCCCTCTGGGGCCTTCCCTGCCTTGGTAAGCAGCGATCCCCAAGTCTCCGTGGCTCAGCACATTGGGAGTTTTTCTTGCTTGTGCAAAATCTGACAAGGGCTGAGCTGCTTTCCGAGGCAGCTCTTCTTTTAAGTGGTGACTCAGACTTCCAGCCTCCTTCGTCTTGTGACACCACATCCAACCCTAGGTCTCCTGCTGCCGAGGGGAAGGGAACTGTTTGTAAGGCTCTGGGCCTGCCTCTTCCTGAAGCTCATCTTTGGCAGCCTCAGTGCTTCCCACGTCTGGTGGTTAGATGAGGCAGTTAGGTGCTGTTGGCCTGTGTTGTTCTGAATCTTCCTGGTCTCTTCATCCACTCTCAGGGAGGATATCTTAGATCTTCCCAGGGGCTGGGAACCATTGCAACCATGGGAGATCAGTAAGACAAGAAAATGCTATTACAAATGGGATTCTTAAGTTCTTTAAGTCTCAAGAGCTGCTAGTGTCATCATTTGCTGGATTTAGCTTCTCCTGGACATAATGGGTCACTGGCATTCTTCTTACTTGGTCCAGTCTCTTAAGGCCAAATGTTTGTCCTCTGGTTGGAGTTTGCTACTTAACAGGAGCAGTGGCATCCTAACCAAAGCTTCTTTTCTGTTCATCTGGAACAGTGATTCCGTCTCCTTCTTTCCTCTCTGCTCTGATTGGGCCCAGTCCGAACAGACAGGGTGTGTCTCACCCACAGAGATGCTAGATTGGGAGCTGCAGCAGATGAAGGACTGCCCAGGGGCGCTCAGCATGTAAATATCCACGACTCTCCCACATTGCTTATTTAGAGCTTCTTTAGTTGCAGTTGTAGACTTCGAATACTGTACAAGGCACGTTGCAAAGCTTCCTGAGACAGGAAATCTCGGGAAGAATGGGAATTTTGAGAGAAACCTGAAGTCTGAGTATAGAAAGCTCTCTTCTCTAATCTGGGCAGTATAGTAGGGAGTCCTGTGGGGCTGAGTGAGCAGGTCGAATGTCCTCTTCTCACATCCAGCCAGGGCGCCATCCACGAAGCCTTAGTCCCTGCAGAACAACACAGGCCCAGCATGCGATCTAGTGGTTCTAGCATGTACATGTGCCTTGTTTGCCCTTCTGTTTTAATGGCACTGCGAATTAGCTACCAACATTGGGAAAAAAATAAAAAACAAGATTTAACCAAGAATAGCTAGAATTTCTAGGTTTTCTTAAAAACCTGGGAGGTCTGAGAAAGCTGGGCTTGTACCGTGGTCCCCACCACTCCCTCTTGTCTTGCCGCTGGCCCATTATGCATGGTAGATCTTTGCTTGGAATCCTTCTCTGACTATTCTTTTCCTCCCGCTAATGTGGAGAGGAAAACCAGAGTTCTTCCCAAGCTCCAGTGGCACCTTCAGTTAGATGTTTCTTTCCCGTTGTTGTGGAGGCAGCAATGACAGCCCCCAGGAAGTTCTGGAGAAATGAACCAGTCAGGAAATGATTTAACCATCTGTGCAGAACACCTGAGAGGAAGGACAGCCAGTAGGCTCAGGGCTTTTGAGGTTTATTCCTCCTGCCTCTGCTCCAGATGTTTCTGTGAGGGATCAAAAACCCTTGACTCATCCCTTTGGAATTGTCACATCTAAGCAGTACAAGAGAGTAAGATGTACCAGGTCTGCCATGGAAGAAAAAAGGCATAGAGTGACCTGAGCATCAGTTCAAAGCACTGTTTCAGTGCTGTTCTGACTAATAGAAATAGTTTCTCTGCATAGAATCACCTGATATGCATGGATGCAAGATTTGTTATTTCCAATTTTGAATATTTTTTCTTTGATAGAGGTATTGGGCTGTTCTTTAAATATAGACCATGTAAAAATATTTGCAAATGAGATACTAGTGCATTTCCTCCTTCATTATTTCCATTTTTCTTGCCCGTTTTGTATTTCCCCTAAGAAATCACAGAACTTGTTTGCACTTGCAGGTGTATTCCACTGTCTTCTAGCATCTTTGTGGCTGAGAGGAGGTCTGCTGTTTGTCTAATCCTGTGTTTATCTCTGGTGGCTTTAAATAATGTTCTGTGAGGCAGGCCTGCACACGCCCTACTGAGGTCGTGAGTCGTAAGGAACACCCCGAATCAGCCCGCGCTCCGGCAACAATCCACTGGACACCCCCCCCCCCC